TAGATGCATTCCAAGTGGGGACCGGTGTCAGACAAGGCTGCTTAGTCCTGCTCCTTTCCGTTTTGTAGATGAATGAACTATAAAGATCTCCACGTCTGAGATGAAGCACGGAATACCATGGACAGCTTGAATGCAACTAGACGATTTAGATTTCACAGATGACCTAGCCCTTTTATCCCATAAGGAGGTTCAGTCAGTGTAGAAGCAGCCTCTGCATCAGTAAACCTCAACATACATAAGCGAAAAAGCAAGATCCTAAAATGAAGCACAGCCAACACCAACCAAATCACACTTGATGGGCAAGCTCTAGAAGAAGTACAAAACTCTTACGTACGAGATCAGTATCATTGAGAAATAAGGAGGTCTGATACAGACGTCAAGGCACGAATTAGCAAAGTAAGACCAGGATTCTTACAATTGAAAATATATGGAACTCAAAAGAACTGTCAGTCAATACCAAAGTGAGAATCTTCAAAGCGAACGTCAAGACAGTTCTAATATACGGAGCTACAACTACTGCATGATTACGGAGTTCTTTCGTACAATGGCAATAGTATACATTAAAAGCTACATTTGCAAATCCCCTACCAATTGTCTTTTAAATTCTTTATGACTCTTCCAATTCTCAATTCATTTATGCATCCCTCTCCGTTTTCTTCATTTTAATCTTCTTAGCCTTCTGCTGCCATGTATCCCATTTCTAACTCGCGTTACATACTACTTATGTTGACATATACAAGTAGCATACATCACAGTAGTTAGTAGAAGACGCTGAAGATGGATTTTTATATTGGTTGGCATTCATTAGCAAGGCATACTGCCGATTATAAGGGAAATGAGGTTCCTTGTGAGATTTTGAGCCCGGACCATCCAGTTTTAGAGATGGGGATGTCGTTGTTGAGACATTCTGACTGCCACTGACCTGTAGGATTAGAATGTTCACATTGATTGATCAATGTCAAGTTTATCCAGTCCTCAATGCTTTTTAAGTACCTTATGAAGATTCCTCAGAAGGTATTGTGGACTGCGATGTGGCTACTCGAAATTCTACCGATTGACTGACTTCAGATATCCTAGTACGACCCCAATACTGTTCCCCAAACTCCAATATATCAGAACACAACCGTTAAATGAGAATTGTATATGGGGTCAGAAGAAGAACAAATATAATTTAAAGACAATGCATATTTATTCAGTTAGGATGACCGTGAATATTAACCAATAGGAAAACGACACGTGAAATTTATAGTTAGGACAACTGTAAATATTGAACAATAGAAAACGAAATGTGAAATATGTAAAAAGTCTGAAAACATGTGAAAAATACCACTTTACGTTCGAGATAGAATTTGTGAATATCCTAACAGAAGGTAAATCAGTAAGGCAATGATATGAACAGAAAAGAATCAAATCCAAATAAGCAAACATTACGACCTCCATTTATATCCTGAGTTCTGAGTCATGATAATAGAAAATATGAGAGCTTGACATGTTTATCTTATCACTAGCTGTTGTAGATAGAGGAACATCATCTGACTAGTTGGACTTTGAGATTTCACGGTCATTAGTGTGTAGTGGCGTTCTTCGTCAATTGACCGGCTCGATAACCGTTATTATACCAATCTTAACGGTGTATAGAGTCAGAAGACACAGGGAAGAGGCAACTACATTTTTATTGACAAGTAACATAGGCCAGAAAGCTGTGAGCACATGAGCAAATGTTGACGAGCGAAACATACATGACACGTATTGGAGATGGCTGGTAAGCCAACTCGCTATAAGCAAGCATTAATCAACATTTATAGTCAGACAAAAATGAATGACAGACATATGATGAATAAGATACGAAGTGTGCATACACATAAGCTCATTTAAAAAAAATAGTCAAGGTTAATAAGCAAATAATGAACAGGATCAAAATATGACTCATAATGTATAGGTGAATTGGCTTGTCCAGAAACTAGAATAAGCTATGTAGGTGTAATATAGTACACGACGTTACACTACTCCCCACAAGTGTTCATGTTTGAAGAGGTTATTCGTATGATAAATGTAAGGCATAATCTTTACTCTTGTTTTTCGATCAAATGGATGTACAAAGGGTGTAGGTTATCAAATTACCAACTTGGTGATAAGCTGACTGACATTGAACTGATTGTAGGTGTTTTTGAACCACCAAGGATAAAGTTTGAGTGTATGACCAAAAATATTAAAGAAATAGTGATCGGTTTAAGTGCTATTGAATTATGTGCTTAGTTTATCCATGGTCACACTTTTTCCAACTGAAATAATTATTTAATTAGTTGTAAATCATTTATATGTAAGATCTGGTTAGTTGATTGAATGTAGAGCTCTTATGAAATTTATGATCTTAAAGTCATGTATTTTCCAAAACTTTCTGGAAACTGTTTTACTGATGTTTAACAATAAATTTTCTTAAGTTACTTCAATATATAATGAGTTCAAGTCACGGTGTTGATGAATAACTCTATACTAAGCAAATATTTTAGTCACACCATATAATAAACAAAAAAAAATGTAGTAAAGGGTCAAATATTGATCAATAAATTAATAATGTAGAAGCAGAATACTAATGGAGAGTATAATATGTAAAATGATTTAGGTTGCAACTTTTAAGAAACTAGTATGATGTGTTATTGAATGCATTTCTGCCACAATCAGTTCATTGAATTGTTAAACTGATCATTTACGAATAATGTTTATAAGACATAATGCGAACCAGTATTCCTTAAATATGGGCAACCATTAAGACTGTACTTACAATTGACTAATTATAATGTCATAATGATAAAATAGGATCAGAAAATATTACTTCTGCACCAACATGTACAATATTAGCAATACTGTGAATCATTTGTGAGAAATTAGACCATACGTTCAGCTCCGTCATCATATTTGCATTAGGACTTATTTTTTTATTCTTTGGTCAAGACTTATATAAGACGTTAAAGTCCGAGATGTTCCGCTACGGTTCTGTTGACACACGTCTCAAAGTCTGTAAGCTTGACCATCTTCGTCTACGTTGTTGATCATGTTTAGTTCTTACAAATTTATTGAAATAACATCCTCCTGTCACGATTCCTAAGAGGCTTCTGATACTTGCTGCTAGTCTGGAGAAATGTAGGGACGGACTAATCGCTGAGAAAGTTTCTAGACTAAGAGAGGTAAAACAAAATGGTGATACCATGAAATTTGTGCTGAGTGCAACAATTTTACAAAAAAAAGTATTCGTTGTTTGTTTTATAGATTCCATCTAAACGGAAAACATCAAGGTAACGATACATTAAGTTCCGTTGCCAATTAGTTATTACTGCAACTTATTACCTTTATCTGGTCTATATTCGCAGCATCCTCCGAGATGCACACAAGTAGTTACTGTAGTTTAGAGGTGTTGTAGTGAACAAGAACACGGGTGGGAACAATCATATGTATTACAAACTATCTCACTAAAATCTGATAACCATACAGTAAACAATTAATTTGCAAAATAACAATCAATTGATCAGACTTCTAAAATAAATGAAGTTATCGACCTTTCAACTACTTCACTCCCTAGATTTGTAATAGACAAAAAAATAAGTATCGGTCAAAACATTAACTACAGCCATCTTTATACAATGGTTGTATTGTAGTTCGATAGGCAAAACAAGATTTTTTCATCCGTAAAATATCACACAAACATAAACGCAAATAATAATTTCATTTTATGCATTTGGAATAAGTGAAGCCCTAATTTCTCCGCCGACACTATCAACTGGTCATCTCTAACCAGTTCATTTTCGAGGTCTTGTATTCTTAAACTAATGTGCCTGCTCTATACTTAGTAGTTATTTATTCTGGATAGAAAAGGCATAGATGTTATCAGCCAACTAGGAATTACTTCTCTTCAACACTTCTGGCTTGTAAAATGTAAGTAGTTTGTTAAACAGATATTTTTTATCATTGACAAAGAAATATGTAAATGTGAAGGTAATTTCCTTTACAAACAGACTTAATATGAAAAAAAACTAGCAAATACTCAAGAATTATTCCGCTTAAATGAAACTTAGTAGTGAGCAGGAACACGGGTGGAGACAATCGAATGTATTTGACACGAAAATTACAGACGTCACAAAAATCCGACAACGATACAGTAAACAGTTAATTTGCAAAGTAACAATCAATCATCTCAATCTTGACTGTTCCTTTTGTAAATATCAGTTCATCTTCCCTGATCTCATTGTTCATACATTTTCATATTGATTGCGCTTCGTTCTTTCCTTATCGATCTTCTGCCAAAATAATTCTATGTCTGTCCATCACCATATACTTCTTATGTGGATATAAGTAACCCACAAGAGTGTTAAAGGAGTAAAATTACACCAGGATATGAATCCCCTAAGCGAATGAATACCATATTAAAAATTACTGCCATTGGACAAAATTACTTGAGGAAGCGGAAACTAATGGTTACTTATGTTATGTCATAGTAGTAAACGCTAATTCTACTGGTATGACGCAACATCAACTGCCACGGTTTGCATAACGAATTCTAACCACTTCTGTTCGCAATCCGCTATAAATAATCTATTCTTTCAAAATACATTGATGAATATATCTGTATGCATTGTTATTTGTAATCTAAAGATGTAAATACGAGTGAACAACTAAAGATAATGAAGTAACAAATCGATAATAATAATTTTTGATAAAGTACCAATTGTTTATTTATTCTTCATATTATTTTACTTTTATCGTAGTTAGCACTTAACACCCATAAAAACTATTTTTCTCATTACCGCATAATCAGCACCTGATTCGTAGATTTATAAACTAGCTCTTTAAACAAGGTCAAATGTGTATTTATCATGTTATTTTCTCTTGCAGTGATTATACTAGCCTGACACAACTTTTACAAATTGCAAATCAATCAATAACTTAATTCTTGAAAAAACTTGTCATCACTGAAGTAAAATAGTTATATTAGAACCATCTACCAAGCCAAATGAATCGATATCAAAAAACATTCAGAACAGAAACAAATGTACAACTGAGAATTCAGTAGTTCAACAATACACTCATATTTATACAACTACGGTTTATCGAATGCTTTCCAATTTTTTGTACTTTAAGTTGATTTTTTTCTACTACAAAACCTATTTTCTTCTTTGTATTTCCATGTTTACTCCATGAACAATCAATAATTGATTCTTATCCATTTAACCAAAGATTACTACTAATATTTTAGTGTAGTGCTCCTTTTGTCGGCATAAATAGGTATATAACACCAAACAGAAATTGGGTATGTCACATCAGCACATATATGTGATTCAATTCATATAAAAAAATTTGATAATTTTCATTTAAGATGGAAATTAAATGAGAGAAAATATAGACCTTTATATGATTAAAAATGAAACCAATAATATTTAACAATTTTATTTTATTTTCTAGGTAACGAATAAAAAATAAGAAAATGGGAAATTAATGTAATTAATAAGTATATCTGTTCAATGATAATAGTAGCAAAATGAAAAAAAAATGGTTTAGATCTATATTGTTCAAATAATTATTCTCTTATGATTTATAATAATCTGTTATAATATATTTCTATGTATATTTTATTTGTTCAAGAATTTTTGTCCTTTTTTTTCTTCTAACCATACTGAGTGAACGATGAAAATACACTGTCTTCTTCTACTTTCATCTGACCAAAACATATAATCTGTAATCATTGAAATAGAAATGAAATTTTTTTTATATATAATACAAATTTATATTATTAGAAGCATAAGAGACAAATATATACAGTAAAATTAAAACATGAAGTTCACCGAAGGGGTCTCTTTTCAAAGAATTTATTATCAAGCTGTACAATCGTATATATCTATGAAAATGTTTTATTAAAGTACTAATTCCGTGAGGAATTGTGAACACGAATAACCAAGGTTATAATACTACATTACGTAATAGGAGTAGTAACAATAGATTTAGTGAATATAATAAAATGATTAAAATGAATAAAATGTTTTGGTTACAATAATTAAAGGTCATAGAGGTGTAAAAATGAATAAGGTGATATGATGAGTATTAATGAATAAAATAATGAGAATATAAGATATAAATAAAGAGGAAATGGAGTAATAGTAATAATATTAAGGCCATGGTAACGATAATGATAAGACGTACTTCATTTGTACACATAGTTCTGGTTTAAGCTTATGGATGGTAAGAGCTTCGCCTATTTTTAGGGGTTTGATACGAAGAAATTTTGGGAGATTTGAATGAATCATGTAAACAACCTTAAAATCAGACTGTGGATCCGTAGAATGATTACAATCGATTAGGTGTTCAAGTATAGAACTCCTAACCGCTTTATTTTCACCCTTGTAGAACCAAACTGGGATATGTTCTCGTATCTGAGTTGAAAGCGAGCGCTGGCTACGGCCGATGTACCTTGCTCCACAAGAGCAGGTGAACTGGTAGATGCACATAGAGTATTAGTACTTTAACAAAACATTTTCATATATATATACGATTGTACAGCTTGATAATAAATTCGTTGAAAAGAGATCCCTTCGCTGAACTTCGTGTTTTAACTTTAATGTATAAATGTGAATTATATGCCAAATATATACAGAACAAAAAAAATACAGAGTAATTAAAGATAGATGAATTAACTGACCACTAGTAACGAATAATGTACACCAAATTTGCTTATTGGCCGTTGAAAAAGTTCCTCACCATTAATATTCACCTAACTTGAGATTACGTAATTGATTTGTATTTCTTGTTAGATGACTCAGATTAGTATAAAAATGGATTGATGATGGAAACTAGCAGATGAGGGATTATTGCAATAACCTACTCTTCTAAATTGGTCGGCTATTAATTACAGCGTTAACATTTTCTTCAGGTGTTTAGGCTGACATACTAAAATCTAAGTAAAGAAATCCCGAGTATTTTTCCTCATTGAATGGAACTTAAACTGTATCATTTTTTAGTCAAGTAAATATATATTTACATTTTAGTGAATTTGTTTTCTCAATAAAAAAAAAGGAAAACTGCATATTTTGTATTTGAAACAGCAAATTATTATCTACAGAATCATTGAGTTTACTACATCATTAATTTTTAAGGGAAATAAACATGGATAATCATCAAGTAATTTTTTGCTAACTTACTCGGCCTCGATTAGCTTGGTTTGTAAAATGTTGACGATAACGGTAAAGAAGCTTGCAAAACTCTTCGTTTTTTAACGCTAAACCGACATCATGAATAATTATGCCACAGATAAATGCTTGTCTCATTAGTAGAATTGATAAGTGCTCAACAAACAAATCTATATTGTATAGAGGTGTAAAACAATACAACTTGTTATTTCCTAATAAATATATTTTGTTTCGTTGAATGCATCACAACTTTCTGTGTTATAGAAGTAAAGGATGTACATTACTTAATAAGGAGAAAACGATTTCAGTCATTTTCCTAACCAAATATAATCTTTAATGTAGATATGTACTTTCATAGGTATATAAATCACTTTTGCGTTCTTCAATGAATAAATTACTTTCTTTTACACACACAAACTAGTTCAAATTACATGTTATGAAGTGTTTGTTATCATTCATTCCAGAGAAAAAGTTCCTTCGTATAGATAGAGGCGTAGTAGGCGCTACTCCCAAGATTGTCTGTAAGTAGTGTGTAGAGGAATGTGAGGTCGATGTTGCGACGACTGTCAAATGGAGTAAAGGATTTCAGTGCATCGAAAGCACGGCGTGGATAAAAGCCTTGGAGACCACACGAGAAGAAAGTCCAGATGTCAGAACATACCGTGAAAATGCAAGTTGAAGATTGAGGGCTATGTATAATGTATTATAGCAGTTTAAAGATTCCCATAAAATATTCAAAAATGAACAATATTTGAGTAAACAATTGTTTTCAATAATTTCATCATCAGGCTCTACAGTTATAAGTCCATAATAATAATATTTTACAAAGTCCAAAATGAGGCATGTATTAATTAATTTGACAATGTTATATGTTAAAAATGGTGGACATTTGCATCTGTTACGACATACATACTTTAAAATTGTGTTATTTATAAATTAGAAAGGTCATTTAATAAAGGTCAAAATGATTTGCAATAAAGTGTCCAGTCACAATCAATATAATAGTAATATAGGAAAAATGAAAATGCAAAAAAATTGTGTGAATAAAATTCATAGTAGGAGAATTTCATCTTGTTGAGATAATAATGATAAATAGTAATAATAATAAGATTGATGTGTGAATATAATATGTAATAAAAGGGGGTGTTATTAAGGTAATTAAGATGAACGAATTGGAAATGATGGATGTGAAGATTAAGATAGAGGTGATCAACAAAATGAAGAAGGAAAGAAAAAAGAGGGGTTTATAATATTTAGTTTGGGAATCCGGTGATCCAGTCTTAAGCCAAGGTAAACATAGTGGCTGGATATACCTTTTCTGGATGCATAAGTTTGGTTTTCTGGAGTTGATCCAGATGGCTTCGGTTATGTAAAGTAATCGTAATATAGCTAGGACTTGTAAATGTAGAGCCTGATGATGAAGTTATTGAAAACAATTGTTCACTCAAATATTGTTCATTTTTGAATATAATGTATTACATAGATACTTTGTAACTTCTCACAATAAGTACACTCCTCCTGCCTACTGTCGTGGTTTACAATGGGAGATTTGAGTAATGTTTTAAATATATATTATTAACCTGTCTGAAGGTTTTCACACTCATGAGCTAAATCGATTACCTTTTCCACAACAGTTATTCGTGATATCTCAGAGGAACAGTTAATCGGTCGCGCGATGCATAATATTTCTCACCAGTCAGACTCGTGATAAGGTAACTGTAGAGCTCCATGTAGGACTACAGTATTATATATTTTTTACTTATTAACTGTATATATGAAATTGGATAGTACTTTGGAATGTTTTTAAAGAAAGGATTACGATTCGTATTTGCACTGATAAATGCTTCATTCGCAATATCAAATTTGCAGAAAACTTTTCTATTTTCGACCAACTGGTGTTCGTTGCATTCCATTGTTTTAATATAAAAAAACAGGATCATAATGATATATCCCATATATAATGAAGATTGGAGAAAAACTACAGTTGGACGAGATGGATTGTACTGTATTATGCAATTAAATTTCTATCATGAGTCATTTCTATATTACAGTTCAATTTTTTCAACACAGAACCTTTAGAACTGTCGTTAAATATTCTGTTTTATATGAAACAAAGTGAGTATACTAATTTTCACATTAAGTGAAGACTGTTTCCATTGACTAAACATTCTAATTAGACTCGAGACGTTCACCCGAACCCGTATAAGTAAAAAAAAACCGTAACTGACCTTGCATAGTTTGAAATAACTGTTGCAAATATTGAACATAAAGTAAATAGCTTCGAGAAAATCAATAGGACAAGTGTATTCTAATTATAAATTCACGGTTGACTGGATTTTAATTTGTGGAAAATCATGCGAAAGTATTTTATGCAATTTCACTCAACTAACATCTCTAATATGGATTGAACTTTATTCCAGTAAATAAATACTATGATGAAATAAAAGACAAATGCGGACTTTCTATGTGTGAATGTCTAGAAGTTTGTAGCCACAGATAATGAATAATAGGTTTTTATCAGCTTTATTTTTCAACTTTTTATCAGACATTTGCTTTTAATTTGAAAAAAAAGAATTGTACTTAATGGCAAGTAAAAGATATCTTATTTCATAGCATGTAGTGTACAAATTGCAATGTTTACTGACCTGACAATCCCGACGGCTGCTGCTAACTTCACCCGGTGATCGGGCTTGCCTACTACGATTAACCAATAGGGCTATACCTACTGCAACAATCATTCCTCAACGTCCTACCATGCCAGACAGGTCGGTTGAAGAGCGATAAGACTAAAAGCAGCAAACCCAAGGTCGTACTGCTGACTGTACAGAGGTGTGACGGCAGTAAGGTGTCTCCTTCAGACAACCAGCATAACAGCGATGTTGCCTTCCGACAAGGAGGCGTGGGGTTAGAAAAGTTCGACCCTAAAATTGCACACCTTGCCTTATTCCACGGATATTCGTCTCCAGCGGTAAGGTCCCAACACGTACGGAGATAACACGAAAACTATCCACAAAAAGGTCGTGTGCGACCGACCTCAAGCAGTTGTCCCTTGGGCACTGCGGTCACGCTCTCAGGTCACTAAGACCACTTCTAATCCAATTGCCTTATCGGGTAACTCTAGAAGAACCCTTCCACGGTGTGGGCAACCGGGAAGTGATAACCACACTCATACCTCTAACAGCAATCAAGACCACTGATATTCATGATTGTTGTATCCCGAAGAGAATTGTGAATGGTAACTGTTGAGGACTATTTGTGGATCAATGTAATATGTATATTTCCTATTGTATAATTGTCAAGTAACTAACCTAATCATATTCGTGTTCCTCTTATCATTAGCTTTATTTTGACCTTCGAACTATTATTATACGATTTTTGAGTTATCATCAGTTTATTGATTACTATTCGCAGCCACATTTGGCTAAATATTGTACAAATGTTATTTTCTATTTTATGGTACAATGTGGTCTGTTTGGTTGGTATATAAACCCAGTATGTTTGTGAATAACGATTCATACCACAGAGGCTGTTATTGGTGTTTTGGACTTAACTGACTGGGCTAGGCAGAAGCACGATCGATAAGCGCTCTAGACTGCTCGTACAGTTTTCGTGTGTCACTGTTCCAATCAATAATTCGCTGCTCCCTGATTGGCGGTCTCATCAAGTCACACATTAACTAGGCATCCACTCGGCCACAAGATATAACAATAATCAATCTCCTTCTTCACTTCCTACTATTCCTTCTACCTCAACTTCCAACACTTAACTTCCTTCAATTCCCATAGTTTTTAAATAAAACCTTGAGTATAGCGTTTGGTAGGAAACTTAAATACATTCTGCGTAGAACGATGTCATAATTATTAACAATGTCATTCAGTTTATCATTTGATTTGATCTAATTCTTCGTTAGAATGTGAGCATTATCTTGACAATGTATTTCTTTATTTCTACTGTAAGACATATAATAAATTGAGCTGGTAGTAGGACACTACTGGGGTTGAGTATTTAAAACTTGCATTATGGAAACACAGGGAATCTATTATGAAGGAACCGTGAGATATGAATTTTCAGTTTGATTCCACATATTATAAATAACTAGGCGAATCCCATTGGGTAGTATTGGTAGTAAAAGCCATATACGAATTGAATCGGAAAAAATTTATTTCAGACTTTTATTTACTCCAACAGACGGTAAGAAGTGTGACATGGACAAGGGCTTTTCAGACCACACAATTCTTTCAAGCGTGGTTCAACATTTATAGCTAGACAAGAAAAGCAGGCTAAATAAACATGACAAATAGAACAAGCGGTCACGAAACGGCACATATACGCTCATACAAAAACAATCAAGGTTACAAGTGAAAAACTGGCAAGTTCAAATATATGTTTCAGTCAATCAGTCACAACGTAGGACTTCGTAAGTACGTACATCAGTTCGAGTTGCCATACCATACAAATATATGTTTACATAATGTCTCAAAAAGTATAGATTAATTAGTCTGTCCCAAAGTTAGAATAATTCATGTAGACATACATCAGTACTTATTAAATACCATAACATCATTTACTTTTTTAATTGGCAGAACGACTGAACGCAATTTCTGGACAGTTTACAAAAAAGTGTGTCTCAAAATTGACCACATGAGCCTACAACTATTCATTGAATCGTATTATTATTATTATTACAAAAATATAATATCATGGTAACAAAAGCAAAACAAATTTTTAAAAAATCCTACCAGAGGTTGTAAATATCAAATCAACTTGTGGTAATAATTTTGTATCACAAGGTAAGTAAGCAATTTTTAAAGGACGTTGAGATGTATCAGTTTTATTATCTGATCTATAATGAAAATAAAAACTAGGTGAAATTAAAATTTTTTTTTCTTGATCTTAGTCAAATATAACTAAATGAATTATTTTGAATAACTGTATAACAATTAATTAAAATATAAATAAGTGAACAGAATATATTCTATGCAGTATATTTAAATCATGTCCTAGTGCAATGATGAATTCAAATAAAACTGTAAAATTTAAAATTGGAATAAATATGAACAATTTTGAAGTCTATATGATAAGCACGATAAGTAGCTGAAGACTTTGGGTGATAAAGCTGACAATTGTTCACAATAGCAAAGGCGCATTCACTCTTTATCTTCCTTTTGACTTTGAAAATCCAGCATTCCTTTATTAATACCTTCACAATTTGATTTTTCGGACCATATCCTCAATGTTTATTCTTTATGCTTATTCCTATAACCATATTATTTCGCTCTTTCCTGCTATTTATCTGGTCGTGCTAACATAACACAGTAAATTGAGCTATCGCAATTTAGTCCTAAGCAACCTGTTAATGATGTCTCCTTTCTCTATAAGTAATGCAATGTGGAAAAAGAAAATTGAGAATCCTACCTACTAGGTGATCTACAAAACTAATATCCTTCAATAGCTTATTAATTAATTATATATACACGCTTTCAACAATGATAAATACTAAATCTCCACAAAACCCCTACTATAATATATATACATTTATTGAATATTTCGTAATTAAGCATCCGTTTTTGTTAAAGGAAAAAAGAATTTCGCTGGCAACTTATAACTTTCGATATTAGTTTATTCGACAGAGAAGGTTGCCCGTAATTATTTTCTATGAAGTTATTAGCCGATGATGGCATTGTATCATTGTGCATTATCTATCGACTATTTACCATTTTAACCAAATACATAAGCGCTGAAAAATTCCCATCATATTAAAATACAATTATGTGAACGAAGAATATTCTTTTCAATAATTTCTCATGAAGTTCTACAATTATAAATTAATAATCCATAAAAGAAGATTGGCCAAGTTTAATGCAGAGTACATCATTTAGGAAACTGTAACATATGAATCAAGGAGTGTTTGTAATATAAAATAAAATCGTTAATGTTGCAATAAATAATATGTAATGTTAACTTGAATCAGTTTATAGGTGAAATAAAATCAGAAGATAAATGATCAGAATATATATAATTGACATGGGGGTGAGATAGAACAATGGGATTACAAATCAGAAATTACGTAATATGTAAAATAATATGAATTAGGTCACATATAGTAAATATAGGGATGGATGCTGAATAAATTTCTCTAAAAGGTTAGCAAGTGTGATAATAATAATAATCAGAAGGGGATTTGTGGAGATTTCAGTATATTTCAAAGTTGAAATCATGAGTCAATTGAAGCTAGACCACCACCGAAAACCTGGAAGCACTGGACGGCCGTTTCGTCCTATTATGGGACTCCTCAGCAGTGAGGATCCACGAACCCGCTCTCGCGAGCGAGATTCGAACCCAGGGCCTACCAGTTACGAGCCAGAGCCCTTAAACGATAGACCACTGAGCTGGCATCCAACGGTGTTAATGTCTAACTTCAACTGGTCCACGAATTATGAGCGACACTTCACCAATTGCCTTCGTGGATGCGCACTGCTGAGGAGTCCCATAATAGGACGAAACGGCCGTCCAGTGCTTCCAGGTTTTCGATGGTGGTCTAGCTTCAATTGACTCATGATGTCAACTTTGAAATAATAATAATAATAATAATAATAATAATAATAATAATGACTAATAAGATGTGTAGATAAAATAAATTTAAGATATAAAAGTGAACAATAATCAAAGTAATGTCACCATATTACAAAATTGATTATTAACAAGTTGACCCTGAAGTTAGCCAGGGTAAAAGGAGCGGCTGGACAAAGCTCTGGCTTTTTGATCCGAAAAGCAATTGCCTCAGTCGTCTGCAGGATTCTCAGTCTGACAGCATTAGGTAGACTGCTGTTAACACGATATATTATTGTGAATGATTGGTCGATGTTGGCTCTATGTCCCGTCTGAACTAAATGAGCTAAAATAGAGCTGTTAACCGTTTTGATCACATATTTGCTTAACCACACTGGGAGGCGCTCACGAGCCCAAGTATAAAATTCCTAGAACATCTGCCTATATAACTTGCCCCACAGGAGCAGTTGAATTGATAGATACAGAACGAAGTGGCTAGTCTAGGTAATTTATCTTTCAACATCGGCGTGATCATTGGACGTGTAGAAAACATTAGTTGTAGTTTACCTGCATTAAAAGTCCTTTCGATTGATCTCCGTAGCTTCAGTCTTACCATTTCACTAGGTGCGTCGCCTCTGAATTGTAGGCGTATACACAGAAGCTTTTTATTCACAATTAAACATTCTTTATGATCTCTTTTACTAGTTATGTTTTTATGAATTTCCCTGGGTATCCATTTTCTCTCAGGGTCGTGTATAATGCTTTTGTTTCTTCTTCGACCGTATCTCCAGAGCATAAGGTCTTGATTCTGTGGTGTAATGTCTTAATTAAGTTCCTTTTGTACTGTAGAGGAACAAAACTAAGAAAGTTTGTACACTGACCCGTCCACGATGTTTTCCTGTTTATGTTTCTCCTTAATGAACCGTCATTTCTCCTTGTAAGGAGAACATCCAGAAAAGCGATTCTACCTCCACTTTCCTCATCACATGTGAATTTTATAGACGGATGAGCTGTATTGAATAGCTGAAGTGTCTCCATTAAGTCAGTATAGTCGTTACATAGGATGAACGTGTCGTCCATATATCGGCAGTACAGTGAAAACTTTTCGATCTGTTGCGTCAGTGTGCCGTTTTCTAGTTTTGCGAGAAATATATATATATATATATATCTTAAGCATACATAGTTTTGAGAATTAAATTCGGGTGGCTTCTATCACTGTATTTGAACGATACTGAATATCGGGATTAGTGGCATTAAGAAAAAAAATGGTGGAAAAAACAGATTCTTTTTCCTTTCGATCGCATATCAATAATTAGTTTCTATTCATCACTTGTATAGTTAAGAGCTGAGTTTGTGCCGTGTAAAAAGTAACACGTATAATTATGGCAAGAAATTATTTTTAAATATTCTATGTTAGACATTTCTGTAATTATGCAGTTTCTTTTTGAAAAACAACACATTTTTTAAGTCGCCATAGGGTTTAGCTCCTTCTGGAGCCCATGACGGTTAATGCCGATGCCAAGCCCGAGTGGAAGAAGTTGAACAAAGGGTTAGCAACCTGTCTATGTAATGCCGCAATCTATCCCGCACAAATGTCAAAAGGATTTGACCATCTTGATATGGGATCAAAACGCTAAGGTCGAGATAGATAACACTGAAGGAAAAAGTACCATGCGAAGACATGCAATAAAAGAACGGAAGGAGGATCGTGAAACTGGTGAATCTATGGCCAAGACTAATTCATGGACGACCTATACATCACATCGGAAAGACAGTGAAAAACTTTAACATTTTACAAATTTCATAAGACGGTTGCGAAATTAGTTTGAGTAGTAAGAATTAAGACTTCAAATTAAGAGTTGGAATCGGAATTACAATCAGCATTTCCACCAAGTAGTGACATCAACCATAAGGTCAGAGTGCACTAAAATAAAACAGAAGAATTACTACAGAGAAAAACACAAGAAGCACAATAAACAAACTAAATGATTCGTCAAAAAAGTAAGAAATTTTCAAAAACACGCTGGACACAAAATTATGAACAACGGAAGTAAATTAAGAATGACAACATTCAAAATGAGGAAAATTCGTCATTCTCGACATTAAGCAGAGTTCAAACTAGTTAACAGACGACAACTTTCACCATTAAACCACAATCACCAAACAAATACTTGCAGATATTTATAGTAGTCAGAAAATATCTCACACTTTTATAAGATTCATAGTTTTACTTTCACAACTGCAGATACCTATCTTTCCAAAATAAGAATACCATTTAAAGTGTTACCATGGAATTCACACTGAGAAAATTTTAGAAACACACTTACTGGGATCCGAATATGGAAATCGAATTAGCTGAGGATTTTTCTATTTTGGGTAAAACCCATACTACCCAAGTAGGAGTAGAGGGACTTGACGGATCAATAGTTGATAGATTTTTATTAGCTATCAGTAGTGCATTTGCCAGATGTATTGCAATACGATCTCGACCATCAAATGAATCCAACAACAAAACACAATCTTGATCTCCTTTCGCTGAATTCTCCAAAAGCTTAGCCTATAGTAATGAATATGTCAAATGTAGCAATTACTTATTGATCATAAGAAATATGTAATGCAATAATTCGATCGCATAGAAACATAATAGAATCCAGTTTGACTGCCAAACTCTAGACAATATCATAGACAACATAAATGTTAAACATGAACCACTCTTCAATAAAATAAATTTTCGAAACTCAATGGACCTTGCTGTGTCTCTTCTCAAACAATATATGAATTTTTTGACTTAGTTAGAATTTGTAGTGAGTGCCAACTCCCCATCCTGGTTGCTTGGAAATAATGGGTAAATGGAGTTCCGTTGAACCAATCGTTAGTTTTCTGTTCATCGTTATAATCTCTTGAACTGAGTGACCATGGCTCCATCTTTTTAAATCGCACTAACTATTGAATTTTTACAAGCTGTTTTATTGATGGGTCAGTATAGTTGACCAATGTTACCTATCACAACTGTCTTTTCCATCTCACGTGATTTTACTGGATTTTGTTTGCTGCGCTAGGTTCGCCGTCGTCGGGCTCATCACTTTAGTGGTCTTCGAATATGACTCCAGTGATATCGTATGATTGTTTGTCATTGAAATATTCATGTCGGCTTCCTCGTATATAGTCATCGACTTAAATGACGTCGGTGAACAACAGAACTAAATAAAGCAAATACGAAAATGGATTTCGAATACATATATTTCATACAATCGTTTATCCAGACAAACGATCGAAGAAACAAGGCGAAGAGAAGAGACCGAAGCAAAGCTGACAGGCTAGATTTATCATCAGCTCCTGAAGTTTTCATGCAGCGTGAAAATAATCTGAAGGCTTATCGGAGTTTGTACAATACAACCGAAATGCCAGACAGTGGTGCTGGTAGTGAATTCGGCCGCGAAGCTAAAGAAGAAGCAAGATTAAAAAAATTTGGAGTTGTACGAGAGAGTTATAAGCCAGATGATCAACCGTGGCTAATGACGGTTGGGAAAGGCAAGGCTAATCGTCGTCGTTTTAGAGGAGTTCGAGAAGGTAGTGTGTCAGAAAATGTCGAATATTTTGTATTTTGTCAGTGCAAAGATGGTAATTTCGATGCTTATCCGGTAAATGCTTGGTAAGTAATTTTGGGCTTTACCCAGCCAATTACTGTGTCATACACTTTACCACTTTTAATATAAAATTTACACATTAATTTCCGAATGGAAATATTAGTGTAACTCCGAAAGTTTGTTAAAAGTGTGATCACTTCATTCTAATAGCCTTTAAACCTACATACAAAAAGTTTTATTTTTTCTAAGACACTTCACTGCGCATAAACTAAATAAAACATTATGGCGACCACTCTGAGTTTTTATTACACCACATTCAGAAATCCCTAGCGTTCTATGTCCTATGATCCTTTAGTGGCCCGGTATATCTGACTCCAGTGATATCGTATGGTTGATTGTCGTTGAAATATTCATGTCGGCTTCCTCGTATTTAGTTATCGACTTAAATGGCGTTGGTGAACAACGGATATAAATAAATGAAGTACGAAAATGGATTTCGAATACATATATTTCATACAATCGTTTATCCAGACAAACGATCGAAGAAACAAGGCGAAGAGAAGAGACCGAAGCAAAATGACGCACACTGGAGGTGAGTGAACCAACTCGATTTGACCAGGCGTGAATCAATATTCATAGTCAGATAAAAAATAAGTTGCAGACATGTGGTGAGTAATATAACAAATGCACACACATACACGCTTACATAAAAACAGTCAAGGTTGATAAGCGAATAATCAACAAGGTCAAAATGTAGCTTGAGTAGAATGGATAAATTGGTTTGTCCAGAGGCTAGAATAAGCTATGAGGGTTTAGAATAGCAGCCTACACTACATAGCCCCTTGTAGAAAATAGTATATCTATTTTAAAAAAAGTGTTTTGGGAAATAATACTGAAGAGGTATATAGATAACGTTAACAATAAGTAGTGAAAAGAATGCTATACCGGATAAAGTATAGTGTCACGTGAGGGTTGACTGTATTATACGAAAGCGTCATACTAAAGCAAAAAATACATGAATGTCGTAAAGACTGGAACAAAAATGGAAATGTTCGCACGCGATTATGAGCAAGTTAATAATTGCACAAAAATTAACGTGCATTTATGTCGTGACTGTTTGGACGATAAAATAACATGTTCGTATAAGAGATTCGAAATACCGTGAAAACAGTAATAAACCGTTCATCGTGTATGGGTATGACAGAAGAATAAATCGGGAAAATAAGTACGGTAGAAAATAACAGAAAATGTTCTGTGGTGCCGACAGAATATAAGGATAAAGAAAAGTGAAATGTGAACATGTTCTGGTGAGCCGCAGTACAGTAAATAGAGTCGATTACTTGATTCGAATTTACATACATGGAATTTCTGTTCGTAGGAAAGAACTAATCAATCCGTAAAAAGATGACTGTCTCGATGTATGATATTTATGGCTGTACCGCGATTGGTAATAATCATAAAATGCGAAGTCAGTGTACGTTGTCGTTCGGGTTAAAACCAGATGCACCGAGTTCGTTAAATATGTATTAGTAGAATGATCAGAAGAACAGAATAGTGACTGGGAGACGAGATATGCAGAGTTGTATTCCTTTTTGGTTGTGAAGCCTAGCGTGTTTTATGTCGTTTGAGGGAGATGCGCTCGACCTCGTTTGTTAGTAAACCGTAATAAGGCATGATAAAAATACCAATACATATGATTATCGATGACGATGAGACTGACTTGGATGTAACGAACATGAGTGTATCCTTGAGAGACTAACGCTACACTCTTTTTTCTGGTATGCAGTGCGGTGGGAATAGAATATCAATTGCAGTAATCGAGTATTATTTGTGGGTAATGAATGATACAGCATGCAGTTATACATGTAAATAAGTCGGCTATTATTGCTGTGTTGAATACATGATGTGTGTATAGACATTAAAGTAAGGATCGTCGATTAAACAAAAATCCCTGAAGTTCGGTTTAGATTGTCATTGAAAAAGTGTTGCGTATCAATAAGATGAATGAACATTGGTTGCATATCGAGAACATAAGTTTCTTCTATCGGAAGTATGACTCCAAACTTATGTACATGATAGAATTACTAACCTTTGCCACAGATGGGGTAGTTGTGGCTATTCTGATATCAGCATGCAGGAGGTTCACTCGACTACTTCGACTGAGGATTCATGTGCATGCGTGGGTCGCTAGACCACCGATTTACTTAGCAGGTTGTTCGGTGTACGAGCAGCTAGTATGTATGTCGAAAATATATAACATATGATTGCCATATATCCAAAAATGTGGACAATATTAATTAAGCCATTGGCGTGATAAATGATCCACAATTGAAAGTTCTAAAACGTTCGAAAACTCAACATCCCAATCACTTTTTTCGTTCCGTTCTCGTTCTTTATTTATCGATCTTCAACTGACATACATTCTACGCCTGACTATCGTTATATACTACTTATGTGGAAATGACTAACACCACATCATGAATTCCAGTAGAATATGCTACACTACGTTATTATGACATGCAAGGGGCACCAATACTAATGCTTTCAGTTCACGAAATGCTATTCTTGGTCTCCTGTAACCATGTTCAGATCTTGTGTCAGATACGAACATGGGCTTCTTTAGCTAGAACTCTAGAATCTCGCGCCATCGATATATGTTGTGTCTCGGGAACGCACTTACAAATCTAAGTACAGCCATTAATTTAACCTCACCTTGTCAACATAAAGAACCGGTACGACTTACACATCGAGTACCTAGTGACTACGCTGCTACTTCCCGTACGCTCGCTGATGTTTATATAGCATTAAGTTCAAAAGCAGAGAAGGCTTTGTTAGAATGGATTCCATCAGACAGTCGCTTTTGCGCCGTCTGAATAAACGGGACAGCAAAATTTCGAAAAGATAGGGACACACTCCGTTGCCACTTTGATGTCTCTACCTACGCTGCTACTGACTGCAGCTCGGACAAAGTTAACGATAGGTTTTATGGGGAGCTATCCAATCATCTTAAAAAAGCTACACGCTGTGATGTAGTAACAGTGGCAGGTAACTTTAATACTCAAGTTGGTAAACTAAACCAAACCAAAGTCACTTAGGTGGATCTTACGATGTTGAGGCTCAGCGAACAGATAATGGCGACCGTCTGTTGTAACTATGCTCAGATAACCGTCTATTTCTGGTAAACACTAACTTTAAACATAAGGAGAAACATCGTCTGCAATGGAAACTGTCGCTCATTCTGGAGCACATGTTTAGACTCAGACCATGCTCTGGTTCGAGCACATATTTGTCTGGACCATACTGGACGTAGAAAAGCCAGAAGCAAAAAAACAACTCAAAGCTCAACATGATCTGAAAAAGATGAGAATATATTTCAGGAACAACTAGGGTTAGTCAACTGTGAAAATGATATCCACCCCGAGGTAACTTTCTATGACATCCAAAAGGCTGTAGAAACAACAGTGACATCTTCTAGTAACCTAAGCCGAAAGGTTAGGAAAAGTCAGTGGATTCCAGCGGCTTCTACAAAACTGATATCTGCTCGGAAACTCCATGTCAGGCTACGAACACGACGAGGAGCGGAGGCAACTTAAACGTGGGCTGATCAACAGCCTATGTATTGATTATGAGCAGTGGTGGGTAGAGAAAGCAGAAGAGATGGAAAAGACGACAGCGATAGTTAACGATAGACAACTGTCCATATTTATTAAGGAAACGGATATTGAAAATCCAGTTGTTAGAGAAACTATCTTGGAAAAAGATGGGGCTATCACTCACTCTCAACCCAGGAGATGGGATTAATGGGCATCACATTATAGAGAACAGTTATACTGGCCTGCAACCACACTTTTTATTTACCCGCTATCTACAAACAACCTGAATGGTATACTGATGTAAGTCCTCCAACTATTAATGAGGTTGAAAACGCCGTAAGTAATCTAAAGTGCGAGAAAACAACAGGGCCTGATAG